GAAACGACTATTATTAACACTATTTAAGAGTAAACATTTAAATGATTTTTTTTAAAATATCAGACGACTGTACCGCGATATATAATATATATATATATATATATATATATATAATTTATTTTTAATATAATATTTAAATTATATATTATATATATAGTATATTATATATATATATATTATCAGTCCCACCCCAGCGCATCGTCCGAATCTGCGCACCTCGTCGCAGGCTGCGCACAGGGCTGCACTGCTAGGAAGAGCTTGCCACGTGCTCACGATCCAGCACATTTGCAGGAAAAGGAAGCCGGGTCGTGCTGCCTAGGTGACGTTACAAGAGGCCAGCAGAATAAAGTAGGCGTGATGATGAGGTGCAGGAAAGGGACAGCACGTGCACCAGCAGCGGCAGCCGAATGCGGCGTTAGGTCGCTGACGGCGGCGCACAGGCGCGCGTGCAGCTCGCTGAGGGCGCCAGGCGCGCGCAGGGCGCGCTGCGGGGCGCCGACCCCCACCACCGCCCCCCCTCCCCATCCCCAAACCCGCCCGCCGCGCCGCCGCGAGCACCGTGTCAGACCTCGCCGAGAGACCTGCGGCACAGCAAGCGCCTCAAGTCAGGGTTTTTAACGTAAGGCAGGGGTGTGCAACCTGCAAGCCTCAAGGCCGCTAACTAAAACCTTTAATACGGCTGGGGCCAAAATTTCATCTTACTCGGCCGATCCACACCCTACGTCCTCTTAATTGTTCATTTCGCAGTTTCGTCTAACTTGCGGAAAGGGGTGGGCGGGAAAGAACGTGTTTCCCCTATGTGTGCAATAATCAGAGCTGCCACGTACACAACACATTGGATGATTTTGAATTAATTTTCTTGAAAAAAAAGTTCTATAATCTAAATTGAACAATGTTTTACATTAAGGGATTGACACCCACAACAAACGCGTTGCGCTCAGCGCGCGCAATGTTCTGCCCGATCGTGGGCAACAGAGCATTTCACTTGAACAAAAACCTTTGACCAGAATAAAATGGCACGCGGGCCCCTAAGATTTTCATGTATCTGTGGTTAGACTGTTAAGAGCATGTAGATAATTTTTAAACTGAAATTTTATTCTCAACGTGGCTAAAACAGACACGTCAGCTTTCAATGCAAAATATACGCGCCAAAACTCAAGTAATCAATATTTCAAAAAGGAACAGACTTCCTAAGGAAAAAATGTCTGTCTCTTAATTTATAGTAATGGAAGAATTCCTGGAAAAAAAATGTTGAATTTTTGCAATTTCTAGAAAATCAAGAGATTTTTAACGAATATGAAGATAATACACCATTCTTGCTTAAACGTCTCACAGCATTCAACAACGTTTTTAATCCAAAACAAGGCAGCTCATTTTTTTAAATGGTCCCAGGGCCTCAACTATAAAAGTCACCCCCCCAAAAAATATCATGTTTCAGATTATAAGCTGCAACATCAGCAGATACGATTCGAATATCAATTTTGAGAAATAATCGGCTGAACGGTTTAGCAGCAGTGGTTCCCAGGTACAACAGCGTTTCACCGTCAATCAATTTTTCGGTATCAAGCGCCACAAATCATGGTTCTGGCTAAAACCATGTCAGAGGATTATTTTTCTAACTTTAGCCACTTGGATTCTATCACTTTTCGTAGCAGGGACCGGCAAAAGATTTTTCAGCGAAAATCCGACGTTTTTTTCGTCAGCAATTACCAAAACTGTCTCTTCTTAAACGTTACTTATTAGGGCAAGAAGTAAACATGCTGACATTCGATGTTTGTATAGAGCGTAGGCTTGTGATGGAAATGACTATGAATGCAGAAGGGACAATGCCAGTCGCATTCACGAAAGACTGAAAAATGTGACGGTGGTTCAAACATGGAAGTCTACACTGTTATACGATGAGTTGTTCGCCACTACAAACGAAAGCTGCAAGGCAAAAAACACTTTGCTGTAAAAAAGCAGAGCGGCAGGTTCGGTGATGCAGTCACGCAATGCAAGCATTCAGCAAAGTCGATGATGCGTTCGTGGAGCAGATGAATTGTGTCGCATTATCTTCATCAATCATCTGCAGTCACACTACCAGTTTTACTACTTCAAAACGGGATAAATTCTAATTAAGTCATTTCGTAATATACAAATTGGTAAGAATTATCGCTTTCATCATCAAATTTAAAAAAGCTATAAGTTGACATAGAATAACAACGCTATTTCATGCCACTTTATTCAATGCACCTCTAGGACAGCACAACTATGTAACTGCAAAGCTTTTTTGCACCGTAAGCAACTGTAGATTTCAAGCTAGTTTGGCGGTCATAGTCATCCATACTTTTTTACGAGGACTTTCAACCGTCTTTAGTTCGTCAGTAAATCTCATAGTCTATAATAACGTACAGAGACATTCAACAAAGATGGCAACGTCGAAACCGCCGTCGTAGCGGCCTCGTATTCTATAGCGAAAATTGATGAATGGAATATCTCACGATATAATCAAAAGTAAGTTTCTCTTTATTACATTTTTGTACGTAAGATATTTTCACTGTTCATGATAGATAGAAACTGAGACTTTCGCAGAGTGATTTTGTATTACTTGGCAGCTTAAACATCGTGCTAACTACTATTGCACGATAAATCAGATTCATATTGTTTAAAAATAGCATAAACTATCTATTTTTTAACATTTGATATAAAATTTGTTTAGGAAATGTTTGATAAAAAGTTAATTTTATTGTATCAAACATGTTTTATAATAAGCTGTATCTTAATATTACTTTTACTCCCGATTTACATACTCATTACAATCTCATTGTTTTTATGTATAATTTGTGACGTTTCAATACACATATTTTTCTGAGTATCTAATTTCCACTTTTTTCCACACATCAGTGGGAAAATTTCTTTGAAACGAATATACACAAGATATTTGCCTCGTTGTAGGTAAACCCGATTCATAATAGTGTATTTGCTGAGTCTAACCTAAATCTCTTTTGACTGCAAAATTGTTTTGTTGGAAAAAAAGATTCTGCTTTAGGGCTTTGAAGGGGGCAATTCACGTATTCGTGAGCTGCACAGTTCAGAGCCCCGGCGCTTGCAATTGTGGTTCGTTGAGTGGCTGCGGAGATGCGCGAACCGATGCGACTTTCGAGAGAGAGACTCCGATTTCGCGGCGATTAACTGTTTTCGAGCCCCCTAGCTAAATAATTTTGAGTATTGCCCCACTTTACTGGCAACTTAACATTTTTTGCATGATAGAAATTTTAACTTTTTTACTCAATTAAGCAATTAAAAACCTACCTAATAATTTTATTAAGTTTTAAATGTAAAAAATTGATAACAATTGTCTTATACAACTTATACTCAATATGTGAACTAATTGAAATAACTCAACCACTATTAATCAGTTAAATAAAAACATAACTTACTAAAATATGCCGTTTACGCGATTTTCTTTTCTTTCACCAAAATCGAAATAGAAAATGTCGAAAGAGAAAAACTCAGAGCTTATCATTTTCTCTGAACATTATTAGTTAGTAGAAATGAGTTTGCCTTCTCCCATTAGTAAGCACAAATACTCGGTTTTTAAGCCTGTTTAAATTTTGTTAAAATGATAATGTTTAGCTGTTCCAGTTTTGTTAATGCATTTTAATTTAAAGAAATGTAAAAAAAGGCAAAATTCAAACGCTGGACCCACTCCAGGACTTTCAATTTGTTTGTGCTCAAATATGCCCAAACGCCGTGGTGTATGAAAAAAGAGGGGGGGACCGTTTTCAGTTCAAGGGAATCGTTGAGGAAGGAAATTTTTCCATTTGGAAAACTCGGGACCAAAGTTTCAAAAAAAAAAAAAAAAAAAACCGTTTAAAATTTGGGGGCCAATTTTTTTTTTTTTGCGAATTTGGAAAATTGCCCGAAATTAGAATAAAATCTGTTTTTTAATTCTAATAGCGTGTTTATCAAATTTATTTCATCTTTATTTCTTTACGAATCTCTCTCTTAAAAGGTTGGAATCTATGAAATTAATCAAATGGAGCTAACATTAAAATAGGTTCTACTAAAATTCATATTTATGCATTTAATATTAAGTGATTTTATTAAATACTAAACACAAAATTGTTAGTGTTTTAAGCTCACTGAGGAAATAGTTATAATTGATCACTAAATACTTTTACTTAAAACTATTATTTAAAATATACTTCCAAAACCTTTTTCTATCTTAAATGTAATTTTTGTTATTTGTTGAAATAACTCGTGTAGTTTCTTGATACAACTTTCACATTTTTAATTGAGGGAGGGGCTATGTTTCAGCATTGCCCCGGGCCCAAAATTGTTTAGCTTCAGCACTGCCTGGCTCTAGAATGAAGGGGAGCAAAACCATTTCAAAAGAATGAGAAAAAACCCCAATTTTTTTGGATTAAATATATAACTGGAATTGTAACCGAATGAAACAGTTTTAATAAACAAACTTACAAAATCAGGGTTTAATTAATTCTCTATTCTTCAAATTACGAACTATCATGAGATATCGGTTGCCACCAGTGAATTCTTTCACATATTTATTGAAATTATCACTTGTTCTCAGGCCAGTAAAACAGGAGTTCTGGTCTCTCAATTACTCAGTACTGGCTTCGACTCTGAAGTCAAGAAGCAGGTGAGGTATCGATTATTTTTAAAATAGATATTATAGATAAAATGAAATAAAGATTAAAGGTAAATGAATTATATGATAAAGATGAAGGAAATGATCTATAAATTGCATTAAAATTAGTATGTATACTATTTAACATCTTCACATAGCTGTAGATGTTAAAATTATTTTACATTTCAATTTTTTTAAATGTTATGGACAAAAGAACATGTTTAAAAAACTGTATTAACATTTAACCCAACAGTACTAAATGTGATTTCTGTAAAGGTTTGTTAAAATCATTACATTCGTTAAATGGAGTGTTTTTCTACTTCTTAACATTCTTGATCAAAGCCTTTGTAAAAGATTAAAAGCATACTTATCTCTTTCTCCAGTTTAAAGAATAAGTTAGTGGTTATTATTGCACAATCATGTTCCATACAAAAACAATATGCAAGTTACAATTTTTAAGGAGCCACACAAAAATTCAGAGGGTTTGTCCATAAATTATGTTAAGTTAAAGAGTGGGGAGGGAGTTTGAGGAAGTGTTTTGCTGTGTTACACAGGGGTAGTGGGTGTAATAATGCTGATATTGTTTTTGTTTTTTTTCAACATTAGCTGAAATACTTTCTTTATTCAGTCTTAAACTAAAACATAAAATATTAACAAATTATTTTTAAAATATCAATCAATTAAGAAGTTATGACGTATAAATGTTTACATTAATTGAAAATATATTTTCATCAATGGTATTGATTGAATCTTAGATTAGTAAGAAAATATTTGAAACAGATCTATAGTATGTTCTAGAATACAATTAAATTGATGCAGTTGTTTCTCGCCCATACATCCTCCATGACAACATATGCACCATCTCTGCACCACACTCTGACCTCACCAACAAATGCACCATATATAACTCACCATCACACCACTCTCTGATAGACACCATCACAAATTTTCTCACCAATGCTTCCTTCACATAAAAATTGCCTGCCAATCTTATTGTGACGTGCAGTCAGAATCACCAAATTATTCTGACTTTTATTAGCATTAATTTTAAAATATAAAACAATAACATTAATACAAATTGTTTTTATTGTTATACCGTTTACTTTTACTTTTAGTAAACTATAGGGAGGTTCGTTAGCATTACATAAGTATGGGGGCGTTCAAGCATGCATTGCAGGGGAGAGATAGGATTTTCAAAATATTCAAAATTTGCATTACATAATTTATGGATGGACCCAGAGGCTAGAAGTGAAGAAAAATGTCTAACTAAACTTCTCAATTTTCAAAAACTTAAGTTATTCCCTGAACAGTCAGTTCAGAGAAGAAAAAAAAAATTAACAGACATATTATTGCTTTTCCAGAATACTGTTGTAACTGTTTAATAAATACTTGTAACTGAATAACGAAGTCCTTTTCTCTGGCATTAGAGCAAATGCCACATGCCACATGCATCGCTATTTTCTGCATGGAAATTGCCAGATACTTTTATTGAATAAAGGTGCCCAAAAAACAGAATATTAGACAATCCACTTAAAAAAATTAAAAGACCAAGAGAGATATACAATTTTTAAATTAATAACATACTAAGTGATATTACTTATCGTCTATTAGTGGGAAGAAAAATTAAATTGCACTCTTGTGTCGAAGAAGTGTTTTGTCTCAGTATTCCAGAAAAGCAATAATTTATTAAGATTTGTAAACCATTTAGTCAGTAATTCCCAGTCCTGTTATTCCCAGGGGTGTTTATTCATGTTCAGATTAATGAATGGTAAACTATCAAAAGGACTGTTAAAAAATATAAAAAAATCAAGTCTTATGAAGAATGTAGGGTCTATTGAAATAAAATTTACCAAATATCCCCATTTGATTAGCTTAAAAAATTCTAAATTACGTATAATTTTAAGTTCTAAGTTAATTAGTTTTAAAAGTTTCTTCCTGCAAATAACCATGCTTATCATACTCTAAAATATCTCGCCAGACATCTCGGAATTCAAGAGACCTCAAATTACCCCATTGAATTAGACATTTTACCAAGCATATTTATTGACACTGCATTTCAAATTTCAATCCATCCTCCAAATTTTCACTCTAAAATACTGAGGGATACTGGATTATTAGACATTTTCTTGTAACTACAATGGGAGAAATATACGTACTCATTTATTTTGTTTGCAAACAGTGCTTGAAAATATTTTCTAGTTTTTTTCTTGAATGTTTTATTGATATTAGATCATTGTGAACTTATAGATGGCATTTTTTTTGTTCCAGCTTGAACTATTTGCATTGCAACTGGTGCATAGGCGAGTAGAGATCTCTGCATGTGGCTTCTGCACAGTTGATTTTCCTCTCATTGCCTCAGTAAGTTTTTTTTGTTTTGACGTATAAGTTGTTATTTCAAAAGAGAGTTGGTGATACTTTTAGTCTACGATATTAGAAATTACTTCTTCTTCTTATACACCATTGAGTCATCATATTACAAACACGCTGGCCTGAGAACAGTGTTTGTGCCTGGAACATTAAAGAGTTACACAATGTGCAGACATTATGGGATTTTTAGGGCAGCTCCACAGGATTATTTTTGGCAGGATCTAGTGTCAAAATGGGAAAACAGTCAACCTATCAAGAGACTGACAAAGGTGAGAATGATTTGGCACCCAGCATATCTAAAACAGCTTGTCTTGTTGAATACTCTTGTGTTGCTGTAGTTAACACACATCAGAAGTGGTGCAACAATGGGGAAACATTGACATTTCGTTAATTCATTCATGTGTTGACTATTGATGCCGGAGGGTAGTGGATGCTGTCACACAATGTTTTGAGTGATCACAAGGCTACAGTCATACACAGTACACTATCGAGGGTAATCTTTCATGGCACAATGTTATGAATGAAGATAAAGAGTTGAAGACCAACTCACATCTTGAACAGTGGCTGCATGCCACCAGTAACAGAGTGAAAAACATGTATAAAATTATTCAGTCCAAAACATGAATAGGAAAGAGGTCACCTGACCCAATAAATCCCACTTCCTGGTTAATTTTATCAATGATCAAGCAAAAGTATGCCAATTATCATCAGAGGCTACGACATCTGGGTGGACTGTTGGGCTAGAAGAGGTGTGGCAGTCTAAGCTATGCTCTCATTGCAAACACAGGGCTCGCTATTCTGGTACAACATATAGCTATGCGATATATGGACATTATTGGGGAGCAAATCCATCTGCTTGTATAGGCAAGAGTTCTTTACTTTCAACAGCCCCTTACAACAGGACACACTGCCATGGGATGCACCATGCCACACTGCCATGATTGTGAAGGTTTGTTTTGAGAAACACGACAATGAACTTTCGTTAATGTCTTGGCATAAAGGAACCAAGATACAAACCCTATTGAACATTTGTGGGCAGATCTCTACCACCCTGTACCAACCAAATGTCTTGCTTTTATACTAGCGGTATCACATCCTCCAGGATGCTTGCAACTTCATTCAATCAATGCCTAAATGTGTAGTCACAATTCCACAGGTTAATAGTGGTTAAACATTATTAGGCAGGTGGTAAGACTGCAATAGCTCTTTAGTCTATTCTCATTCTTTTTGTACTCCATGCAAAGGTGAATACACAGCGAAATATTGTAGTAAATAGTGCAGAAGAGAGATAAAATAATAGTTGTCGTTGTCCTTCTTCTTCTTCTTCAAGCATTAGACCATACATCCGTTGTGCCTTCCACCTTGCTTTCAGTCGTCCAACAGAGAAATTTTCTTTAGAGCGATATTATGTCACTTCTTTTGGAATCCTGGAATTTTCCATTCATTGCATGTGTTTTGGCTTTTTGCTACTGTATTCTTTAGTTTTTTCATTTAAATTAAATATCCCAGACTTATTTCTTACATTCTCTTTTCTTATTCTTTTTTTTCTTGTAAAGTCCAATATTGATCTCAAAAATTTAATATCAGAAGCCTGAATTCTACTGCAGAATTTTCTATTCAGTACCCATGTTTCACTTCCATAGATCAGTTATCACAGCTAATGTTGTATAAAATTTTAGGAGTGTCTTTCCTTGCCGTTTTTTAGGGTTCTTTTAATCATACAGCATACATGTTTAAAACACACTATTTTCCTTTCTACATCAACTTCCCCTGTGTATGAAATGTCACAGCCTAGAATCGTAAAGATGTGGACCTGTCCAATGATTGTATCATTTACTACCAGTTTTACTATCTTTCAGGAAAGCTACCTTTAAATGCCTTAGACTTGTTTTTTTCTACTGAGATTTTTACCTTATACTCTGCTGTTATCCATTTTAATTCAAATAGAGCTCTCTGTAATTTGTTCTCATTGTCTGCAATAAGTACCTGATCATCAGCAAATATTAAAGTTTTAACAAAATTGCATTCTTTGAAGTAGTCTGTAATAACTAAATACTTAAGCCACTGTTTCCATTCTCTAACAGCATTATCTAAATAGAGATTACATAAGATGGGTGACAAAATACCCCCTCGTCTAACACCTTTATTTATCATCTCATGTAGGATTTCTCTGTTCTTTCTTTGTGCTAATTTGTGTACCACTATATATGTTCTAAATAACTTCAATAATGTGTTGGGGAATTCCTCTCCTGGCCATTCTGTTCTAGAGCTTGTTCCTTAAAATTAATTATTGAATACTTTGCTGTAATCTATAAACACTAAATATGTAGGAAGATTGTATTCCCTCCTCTTTTCTATTAAATGCTTTAGAGAGTACACATTATCTGTACATGATCTTCTTTTAAGCAAATCTGCATGTTCTTCAAGAGTATGAAATCAATTATGCTTCTTAATTGTTTAGCAATTATTTAATATATTAGTTAAGACATTTAATTTAAATTATATAAAAAAATTATAAAGGCAGATTAATAAACGTTAGGACAGAAAGCAAGACAATACTGATTATAATTATCAGCCGTGAAGTTCAGTAGTTGCAATCATTACTGTATTATTCAATATTTTTTCCAGAACGACTCAAGTTCATGGAATAATATAATGATTTATTATTATAATTCATGGTGTAAAATTTTAGTAATTTTATTTGTTTTGCAAATATCTCTCCATTAATCTTTCAAATCTGTTCTTTCCTTTTTGGTTTTGTTCTTTCCCAGATAGCTGGATCAGTCACAACTTATTTGGTTATCCTCATCCAGTTTCAAGATTCTGATCAAGACAAAAAATGAGTAAATGATGTATTAAAAAAGTGAATCGGGTAGTGTCTTCAATTATTTTTGTTTTTGCAAATTACGTTTTTTGGAATGATGAACGTGTACAAATTTTTGCATAAAATGTGGCAAGAACAAGTTAACACAACTGTTAATATAGAATTAAGATGGACAGTTGAATTAGGTAATTTGGTGTACATTAAAAACAATTGTATGTAAACAAAAACTTCTCTATTTACATCAGCATACAAACTCTCACACCTATCAAATAATTAACAATAACATGAAAAACTGTGGGTCTTATGCCAGATCTTCATAAACCACAATGCAGAAAATATTTTAAAATTTTTCATACACAGTAAGTCCATACAGAGATTTTTGTTGCTATTATTTTGGCAAGAATAAAGAATAATTTCAAAGATGTATAAATAAATGTAAGCATATGTAAGTATGTGAATATCACTGTATATAAGAAATCATACTATTTTGTTTTTATTTATTTCCCTATTCCAAATCACTTCAAATAACCTTATGGGATGCATCAGTTTGGATGAGCATCTAAAACTGAAATGCAAACTGCAGGTGTAAATTTCCACACATGGCTCCCATCTCCATCTTCTCCTTCCAACTGAGTTGTACATTGGATATCTGCTTTGTATTGGCCAGGAGTAAAAAATACGACACTGCATTCATGGTATGCAGTACCTTGTTCTGCCAACTGTGAAAAACATACATCAATAAATTAAACTAGAAATCATAGATTACAAAATTATAAACACAAGCACAATACAATCTCCAAGTCTGAGACAATTCATACGAGAGTTCCCTTCTCTTGAGGCATATGCACCTTCTATAATCAGTTGAATCACTTTCAGCAACAATACTGTTTCTCATTTCTGTTACACAAAAGCATAGTAGTCTGTAATTTAGACAATAATGTACTGATCACATGCATAATGCTACAGCCACTGTATTTAAGGAACACTTATTTTCATAAACTAAATGAAATAAAAGAAAGAAAAAGAATGAAAGAAAAAAGAGAAAGGAAAAATCTTGATGTATTGTTTTGCAAAGAACCGAAAAGGAAACAAGTAAATGCAGGAGAATCTATATCAAAAAAAATTGGTGTCGCCTGGGATTTCAAACAAACTCACTTTTAAGATATGACATTACATGATTGTTTAGACAATACAAAAACCATTTCAATTGCATTTGTATTTCTGTCTATTTATCAACGGTAATCTTTGGAACGGTTGAATTGATTGTGATGCAGTTTTCACTAAAAGATAAGTTATTTCCAATGAAACACCCTAAGCTTATTTTTATCATTCAAGTTATTATTTTCTATTATTACACATCTCAAAACACCCCATCATATTCTCAATTAACTCCAGTTCGGATGTGTTAACAGCTCTGCATATTCTATTAATTGGAGTGGTTGCTTATAATTACTTGTACCATGACGTGCAAATATGTCAGATGATCTCTTATCACAATGATGGCACTCAAAAGCCCAAATGTTCCACTAAAAATTGGCATTTGTTGTTGCCCTTGAGTAATTGGCTCAGTAAAACTAAATCAGAAACGTCCCTATAGGACCTGAGAGATGCAATATTTTGATATCTCTCCATATTCATAGTTGATAAAGAGGTCACCAAGCCCCACAGTAGGTTCAGCAATCCTGAAGAACTTGTTCTGTGCACTTTCTAATCAATTTACAGATATGGCATAAAATGGTGACCAAACTACAAGAGTACATCAGTAAAGGCTTTAAAATTGTCAATGCAGACAATCAAGGCCCTCAGTGAATGCAGTTCATGACACATTCTTCAAATTAATTTCAAGAGTTGATTTTCTCTGTGAGCAGTTAAGTCTGTATGGTCTTCAAAGGACATTTTGGAGTCAAAAGCCACATCAAAATCTCTTATAAATTACACCTCTCCAACACAGTACAATTTATAAATTCTTTGTAAATTCAACACAGTCAGTGCTTTTTAGTGCTCTAAACCTAGTGAAAGTAGTAGTTTCACCCTCTTTGGATTAAAACTGCAATTCAAATGTAGATTTTGTTTAACATTCTTATATACAAAGTACAGAGAAACCCTGACACTGAAAAAGTGTTGTTTTTCCCAAAATGTATTTCCATCTATCTGTGAACAACACTAGCGCTTAAATCAAACATAGGATTTCACTAAAATGGAATTTCTCAACTGATATGGCTGTCTCAGCAGTTTGAATTTGAAATTAATCTTAATTTTTGGGGATTACTTTAAGACCTCTTTACATTTTACATTTCTGAAACTTCCTCAAAAATGATTTGAGGATTTTTCTTCAAATGTTTTGCTCAAATAGAGCCTAGAGCAAACCCAATTTTCAATTAAAATGCAGGAGATTTGAATATATTTTTTTCTCGAAGAGAGCAAAGAAGGTAAATTATTCAAATTTTCATTAAATTAAAGAATTTGGAAAAATTAAAAAATTAAACATTGTTTGGAGTGCCTGCTTTACATTATGGATGGTAGTGATTTTTTTGTTCTCTAAAATAGGGTGTAGGGCGATAAAGCTTTGTAAATCTCTTTGTTGACAGTGTGTTTGTTGCCTTGCAAATTGCATGCCATCTTGCACTGCCACGTAGAAGAAGCACTATGAGAGCCTATTTTCCTGGCTGCTTCTGCTCAATTCTGTCACAGTTTTCTTAGGATTGCACAGCAGCCATTTCTCTTTACAGTCTTCATATAGTTGGCCAGCTTATATACTTGATACATATTTTGGTGCGTTTGAAAACTTGAAACTTTTTAATAATCATTGTGCCCCACAAAAGAACAAGCAGTGAGAAGGTGCAAAAATTTTGCACTTTTCCCAAGCAGTGGTGGCAACATGCTCATTAATGGCTTGTTGTAACCCTTGCCACAGCATTGGACAAAGGAATTGAATTCAGTATGACATGGGTGCCCCTATCTAATGTGAAATGCCCATGGGCACAAATACAGAGAGAAAATGATAAAATATAGAATTTGACTCGTTTTACAATTTGGTTTCATAATAACAATTAAAGCATTTTTTAAAAATCAGATCACTTTGGGTTGGAGAGAAGCTTTTTTAACACACATTTTTTTAATATTTTAAACTTACTTCACAAATAAAATACTGCTTTTCTTCACATTTGAACAGACATTCAAACATTCAGTTTTGTCACATTCGTACATGGAGCATCGAAGGATTACCTGCCTCCTTTGTAGATTTGAAACTTATATCATCATTAGAAACATACATTTTCGTCATTATGATATTATTAGAGCAATGTTTCAAAATAAATTTGCATTGTACTATAAGTTTATTTTGTATTTGTGTTGTCTTTGCATTAGTTGTAGGTGTTTGTTGTAATGAAATTGAAGTTGTCAATACTAGCAAATGAAGTTTGATTTTATTGTCAGTTTATTTTATACTTGTTTGTATGCATTTATTATGATTAAATCAGTATTTAATGATTATTTGGAAACAAAATTGTTCTGTGCACAAATAAATTTTGTTATTTTATTTGATATAATAATTGTTTTTTGTTTTTGGTGTGTATGTGTTCAGAACACACCACGGGGGTGGGTGAGAGGGGAGAGTAGGGGAAAATTTAGCCAACCCTGGATCCCTGAGAATTAGTTCCCTATGTTACACCTTGTTTCTCACATCATTAATATTAACCGTTTAGTTACAAAGGGGAAACAGTTTTCCAGGAGATTTTCAGCTGAAAACCTGGAAATGGTGACCTAACACAGAAGAAAACTAAAAAAAATAAGGATTAGAGGAAGAGGCTTCACACATTGTGAAATCCTGAAGATTTTCTTTGGGCTTGAGAAGTTTGTATGTAAATGTACATCTTTTTTTTCCCATGGAAAAACTACATTTTCAGATGCAGATGTTTTGCAAACATCGCTCTTTTATTGGCAACACATTTTTGTTTTTGAAATATTAGAAAATGAGTAACGGAGAAAAGTAAGGGAAATTTGAAAAAAAAATTATTACAATTAATATCATCATCATCATCATCATCATCATCATCATCATCATCATCATTATTACTGACCTTCATAAACAAACTTGATACCATTTGTGATCTCTAATGGAATTTTAGGGTTTGTACTCCACGTACCTTGCATAAATTTTTTGAGTAATGTATTATATTAATTTAATTTAAAAACGTTTCTAATAACTAAGTGGTACGAGAAAGATATTTAACATTTTTGTTTGAACAGCAGCATGTCATTATGGTACAATAAAAATAAACCATTTTAAAAAAACCAGTAAAAATAGTGTATTCCTATTTAAATGTTTCAATCACTGTATTTATTATTGCTATTATTACTATTACCATTATTGCTGAGCTTACTTTTGGTAGAATAACTTTTGTTGCACCAGCTGAAGCAAGGCGAGTGTCCAGTCTATAGTTCATCGCTCCATTTTGATGATCTTGATAAAATTGAAGAGCCAGGGCTAAGCGACTTAGAGGCCTTTCCAATGTATTTGTAACATTGACTCCTAAAGTCAACAGCTGCCCTGCAACTGCACTTAACTCTTCCTGAGGTTGTGGTTTAACTGGTTGACCATCCACAGTCACATCTGCACAATGAAAGAATGTAATTAATACCAGCTCAGAAATAATGTACCAACAAAACACAATATAATTTAATTCATGCACAGAAGGTACTAAGGTATGCAGGTGGTGTGGAGGAATGGAGGGGAAGAGAGAAGTATAAAGAGATGGGATAAGTAGAGAAGGGGTGAAACAAAGGAGAAGAGATAGGGGCAAAGGAGTCAGGAAAGAGGGAGAGAGAGAGGAAGAGAGAGAGAGAGAGGAAGAGAGAGGAAGAGAGAGAGAGAGAGTTGAAAGAGGAAGAGGGAGCAAGGCTAGTAGGTAGTGACGGAGGTAAGAAGAGACAGATTGGGAGGAAAGAGGGAAAGAATAGAAATGCAGTGGAATCTCAAAAGCACACTTTTCAAGGGACTGGAAACTTGAAACTTTTTATGTGAGAAAACGTGTAATCAAAAAATCTTAAATCATAATTTTCTTATTTGCTCTTTGAGAATATTATAATAGTGAACGGAAACTAATTTAATATTTTAAAGATTAATTTACGTGCAAATAATACATTAACTACATTACATTAACTATCTCATGGAGTCATTGACAACCCATTATTACTTAATGAACTGTTGTTTCATGTCCCCAATAGACCTACTAACCCTTCTGAACATTTTTTTTGCGTAATTTTTCTAAAATTTTTACGTCAAATAATTTTATCTGACGAACATGTAGGACATAATCAATGTTTAGATATAACAGAACTCTGTATGATTGAATTGATGAAAAGTCTAAGATCTTCTATTCTTGAATATATACGAGTGGGTTATAAAATCTAATTATATTTTATTTTAATCAGCTTCATATTCAGTTTACTATATGGTTAAAAAAATTAGATCTTGTTATAAATGTTTTCTGCAAAATCCGTCCTATACTTTGGTTGAAATATATTTGTAAATTGGACAATTTAATGTTCCTACAGTAAATAAATAAATAATAAAGAAGTAAATTAATAATAATGTATTAAGTGCAACCTGCAATACTTAAATTAAAATAATTTAATTGAAAAATAATAACAGAATGAAAATAATCACTAAAAATTACGCAAATTGAGAGGAAAAAACAAACAAACTGATATTTCGGTCTACCAAATCTACACAACCTCATAGAAACATGACGTAACCCAAACAAACACAATGAAGATTGCAGAAACTCAGAAAATGTTTCTCTGAGATTGATATCAGATTGAAAATGCTCTGAAAGGATTCCTTTACACTTTTTGGAATCTTCTAGTCTCTCTTAGTGCCCTGCAAACAACAAGCATTGAAAACCGTGATGCTGCACCAGAAAATGCACAAATTGTGGAACATGATACCTACAACATGCTAAGCAGGTTCAACATGTAAACAACAAATAAATCAATGGAACTGGGCCAGGGACTTAAACATATAGACCTGCTATGTGGAAAAAACATTGTAATGAGGAACGTGCTAATGAGATTCCACTACATCACAAAAACATTCTCCCAACCAAGCCAAACAAAGAAATATTTCATTTATGCAACAAATCACAGTAATATTAATTAGATCTTACCCCACTGCAAAGGTGACATGCGCACAACATCCAGCATATCCGGTGTCAGAGAGAGACCCTTCAAGGAAACCCGTCCTTGCAAACTTTGTGATGGCATTCGCCATCGCAAATCAACATGATTGACTACATGCTCAGCACATACTTGATCTAATGCACGGCGCTCTTCTGTTTGAAGATGTTCCCCCTCATACAACTGTGGAAGGAATATAGTCAATACAACCAAGAGCAAAATTTTCTTTTCTCTTATGCAAGTCTTAAGTCTACGTAGTACAAATAGAAATCAGCATCAGTATAAAAAAGGAAAATGAGGAGAAAGAAGAGTATGAGAATAAGGGATGAGGCATTAAATGAAAAACAAAAGGCAGACAAATGATTTCTTCAATAAGACAACCAAAATCTTCAGTGTTGTAAAGAATTACAAAATTGAGCTAAACAAATAGTTAGAAAAGCATACAAATCTTGGAACCAGCTTATATTTAAAACTGGAAAAAAATAGAATACAGCCTAAAAATGATGAAACATCACAATAAATAAAATAAAGATAAGAAAAAAGAGAGTGAATTCTCTCATTACAGAGAAAACAAAGGTAGTGTAGAATTGCAAAGGAAGTAAGATGTAAGAATCTCTTAACATTTGTACATTTTTTAAAATTATGTAAAAAAGATGCTTTAGGTTAGGTGACCCATTATTTATCTTGCCTCAATGACCTGTGGTGTTGCAAAGATGTGCAGGACTTCATACAAGCGTCATCGACTGTCAACTTCTCATACAATACACAGGAATGCTCTCTGTTCAGCTCTCAACCCACCCTACACCTCAGTCATGCAGTCTCCCATTTAGTAAACATAAAACATTTCCCTCGTGTCATGTCAAACCAGGAAAAATGGCCCTGTTTCCCATTTGTTTTCAATGGAAGTCAAATGGTTTCCTTTGTGTGCTTGGAATACTGATGCATTACTTCCCTCAGTGAGGCTTTATCTCATTGTAGAAATCTGAGAACCAATAACTGTGATATTAGCAACAATAAAAGATTTGAAGGAAAAAAAGCAGCTAGAATAGATAAAATTGTTTCCAAATTATTAAAATATGGAAGCCCGCAACACAAATGATTAGCCATTATCACACTACACATGAAGCCCAAGTATAATTACAATTTACTAGCCATTATCAACAATGACCAAACTTTCTGAACATGTTCTCTATTGTCTCAAAATGTTTATTTGAATATGATATGAAATTTAATGCATGACATTTTCTAGAATTTTCTCCGGATTGAAAATTAGAATATGTAGCAAGTAGGCTGCAGATGTTGCATATTTACATTTTTTCCTTTAAACATTAAGATATGAATAAAAAGCACAAATTCATTTCTTCTTGTTTCGTTCTAAATATACATACTAAATCCTGTTGTGCACGGTTTACCAGATTTTGGAAGATTGAGCATATTTTGACTGTAAGACCATATTGTGGTATATTTATTATACAAGTTTGATAAATAAAAAAAAAGATTCTCCTCTAAAATGGAAATGGTGAAATTTCTTTGAGCCATTTATTTTGATGATCAACATAGTTCTAGTTTTTCTTAGTTGTCTGTTACTGTTACTGTACTTAGTTGTCTGGTTCTGGTACTGTTTGAAATGTGTAGCATTTAAGTATTAAATGCATTATTTATATTCCAAGAAGTAAAAGTAACTTACTGATGTAAAAACTAAAAGCAGTACTTTACTTTGAGCATATTTTTTGTTTTAAAAGCACATTTTCTTAATGTTTTAGTATATCTGTATGCATACTTTTATGATTTTTAGTGCATGTAATTCCACACTCTAGTAATAATTGTATCATTGTGACCTCAGAACGGCAGCGTCTTGTAGTGTGTTTTTGTTTTTGCTGTATATTTCCAATTTTGTAGCAGCATGTATGTCACTGGAACTCACAACACATTTCCATGATTCTAAGAAGCACTATTGTAGACTCAGGAGGTCAATAAATACATTTGCAAACAGCAAATGCACTACAATTCTGACAGCTGGTTGGAATGCATAGGTTAAGAATCCATTACCAAAGAAGGTTCATTTTTTCTTCTGTAATACTTAGAAATATCCTCAGTGCTTTGACTCAGATTAAGCTCAATATTCTGAATGTTATAGAAACTAACAAGTGCAGTAATGAGAGATACTGAGAAATTGCAGAGCAATAATGAAGTATTTTTCATCAAAATTATATAAAAAACAATTACTCATCAAAGAGAGGTGACTGATATGCTGTTTTTAGTTCTGTAATGACTCGCTTTCTGTATGCTATTAACATTTTCCAGACAAGGAAAGATATGTAAAGATGGGTATTAAATTACCAGAAAATATCATGTTAAAGGAATTAACCAGAGGACTGTTATAATTCAAGATAATGGTAATAATTTGCAGCATGCCATTTAAATCAGATATGTAAGATGTTAAATGTAACCATTTCAACCAAAGAACTGAGAAAACCAAATGAATGGTCTATTGGCGTTAAATATCTGTCTTCCTGAAAATGGTACTGGATAAAGTAAATACAGAAAAAGTTTCAAATTTTAGTTATCTCAGATGTAGCGTAGTGATATCATCAAGGAAACTTTACTCTTCAATTAAACTGAAATACATTAAACTTTAAAAAATAAAACACACTAGGATACCAGAATTAAAATTTATAAAACAAAGGCGCTTCCTCAATGGCAGTGAGAGCCGAGTAAAACACTATAAACTCTAGTTAGAATACAAAGTTCTGAAACGAAGTTCTTAAAATGAACGAAAGGTTGCATGTAAGAAGATCAAAAAAAGGAATGGTTACTTAAGAAAAGACCTACATGTTAACAGCATGTAAATTTAAGGACAAATGACTGTAACACCCTAACAGAATAGACGATCAGACTTCCTGGAGCTGCACCTCACTCATAAACCTAGAGGAAGGTTAAAAAGAGAAGATTCTGCTGAGTACATGCGAAATGTAAATTTGTAAAGCAGTTGCAAAACTAATTGTCTTTTCAACAAATATAACTATAACTATATACATACATATGTATATGTATATGTATATGTATATGTATATGTATATGTACATATATATATATATATATATATATGTATATGTATATATATGTATATATATGTATAACTACATATACACACACATTTTACATCACTTAGGACAAAAAGAGAACAACTGGGAAATTGCAGAACTTGTGCTATTTCTTCACAAAGAATTTTGTAAATAATACAGTACAAAGAATGTACAACATGAATTGTACAACAAAGAATGAACAATGAATACATACAACAAAGAATGTACATTTTACTTATTAACCCTTCTCCAGGCAAGGTACTTTCATGACATAGTTGGGAAGTGTCCATCTAACACTGCTGTACAATCTTTGTTTTCTGCTATTCACTTCTTCAACTTTTGCACACATATTGTTTTAATTGTTGTAGGGTTTGAATGTAATGATGAATAATGAATAATCAATGAAAATAATGCCTCCTTTATTGCACAAATTTCACAAGAAGTGATGTTGGAATTTAGCATTTTTTAAAGAACACAACGAACCTTGAGCAAGTTTACACTTTCTTCTTTGTGAATTTACATATTTCTATTAAATTAGTTCATTATTTACACTTCTTTCAAACTGTGTCATTGGTTATATTACTGTGCTCATTGCTGACTGACTGGTGATATTTGCTTGCAACATCGTTTCTGAGAGTGATCTCGGGCATAGACACAAGTGACATCCTTTTCCGTTCTGGTGAGAACATGTAGAACTACTCCTCTGGGAAGATGCAGTAGAATTTAGTTTCTGCCCAACTTCTTTTAGAGCTAAAGTGTCTTTTGGTGGAGTATTTCAATAGTTCCCATAGTATTTCAATAGTACCCATAGTATTTCAATGTTTGGTTCAATAAAGTCTTCTGATATCTCACGCAAGAAAAAAATTTCAAGCATGTTTCTGCATATTCCCCTGCTGCACATTTGACCAGGTGACAAATGCCTCACTTAACCAACATCCAGAAAGTCCATAAAGAACATGA